AATCTTGTCTGCCAAACGTGTACACATTATTTTTATTCTGCCCCAACATTATAATAATTATTCTCACTTTACAAGTATAATCTTTTCAGTTAGTACGGAGACATTATTTTTATACACCTCCAAATTATAATCTTGTCAGTCGATGTCTGCACACATTATTTTTATTTCGCCTCAAAATTATAATAATTATTCTTTCTTAATAATTATAATCTTGTCTGTCCATGTGTACACATTATTTTTATTTCGCCTCAAAATTATAACAATTATATTCCACATCGATCATACAATAATTATAATGTTCAACAATAATAATCTCGACCAGAAAAGATGCAACATTATTATTTAGACGCTTGACAAAATCAAACGTTTGTATGATTCTGATGCACAGCACAATTATAATCGTTCACCAATTTTGAGAAGGTAAGATTATTATTTGGACGCTTGAAAAAGGAAACGTTTGTCTGCCGAAGATAATCACGTGACTCAAGGCCATGTGCTAGTAATATGTTTTACGGTGTGACCGTTGGGGCGAGCGCAGTTGTACCATCAAAAACCTATACACAGCTTACACTTCTATAACGTTGATGGATCCGCCTCTTCAAACGTCAAACCGCACGAGACACAGTCAAGACTGTGACGTCACATGACGTCGGAATTTACGGAGACAGCCGAGCGTCTGGTTGAACGAGACTAAAGATCTTGTGCAATAATAAATGAAATACGCTGTAGAGTGGATGTAATTATTTCTATTTCTTTTAAGCCCTCTGCAAAGAAAGAAAAGTAAACGTATCTCTATGGAACGCCATAGCTGCCTGAAGGTCATTTTCATATTATATGAGGTGGAATAACCTTTATGTGAAGTGGTGAAGTCATTATATATAGTGGTAAAATCATTATATTCAATGAAAACTTTATTATATGCAGTGGTTTTATCATTATATACAGTGATAAAATCATTATATACAGTGATAAAATCATTATATACAGTGATAAAATCATTATATTCAATGAAAACTTTATTATATGCAGTGGTTTATCATTATATACAGTGATAAAATCATTATATTCAATGAAAACTTTATTATATGCAGTGGTTTTATCATTATATACAGTGATAAAATCATTATATTCAATGAAAACTTTATTATATGCAGTGGTTTATCATTATATACAGTGATAAAATCATTATATTCAATGAAAACTTTATTATATGCAGTGGTTTTATCATTATATACAGTGATAAAATCATTATATTCATTGAAAACTTTATTATATGCAGTGGTTTTATCATTATATACAGTGATAAAATCATTATTTTCATTGATAACTTTATTGTATGCAGTGGTTTTATCGTTCTGTGATGTGATGAACTCAATATATACAGTACAAACATAATTTGTGTGATAAAGCAATCATTACACTGTATGAAACCCGCTGCATGTGGAGTGCCAAGTTAATTTCATTCAGTGCGACACCTTTACATGAAGTGAAAAATCTATTATGTGCAGTACTAAGATCATTATATTATATGGTAAAATTATTATATATATTCCTTAAATCATGCTTTGCAGTAGTAACATCTTTATATGAGGTGGTTAATTAATTATATGATGTTGTTAATTTGTTATATGATGTGCTCAAATCTTTATATGCATTAGACTTTTCATGTTATGCAGTGGTAACTTCTTTATCATCATCTAAACTGATCCTTTTATTTAAAAAAATGCGCGGAGTTCCAGTTTAAAGAGTGTTTGAAAATAGGAAACCCGGGCCGTGGCAAATTAAAAGCCGGGACTATTCGAGATTTTTCTAATTTCTGATTCTATTATACAGCTTCCTGATTTTATCAACTGTGCTGAAATTTTAAGACTCATTTTTATAGGTTAATGTGTATTCGCTGTAAAAATTGCATTTAATTTTAAAATACTTAGTAATTTAGATTTTCTTGGCGATTGTTGATTTCCAAGTTCAGTGGTGGATCCAGGAATCTTGAAAAGGGGGGCCCGACAAGTTTTTGGTCGGGGTAGGTAGCCCACAGCCAAACCAAAAAACAATTGATTTATTAAATCTTATGTATATTTTGGACACAAGGGGGGGGGGGGGGCATAGGCCCTCTCTGAATCCGCCCGTGAGGTTGGTAAATCGGGTAGGCAATCAAGTAGACATTTTACGTGTTTTGTTTGTTTGTTTGTTGTTTTTCGTTTGTTTGTTTTTTTTTTTGCCATATTTGACAGAAAGCTAATAAACTTTTAAATTATTCTGATGTTAAAAATTATTCATTCTTTGAAAGGAATTTTTGAGTGAAATGACACGTTTAAGAAAAACCGGTTCACATAGGCGTCGGAACCGGGGAGGGGGGGGCTATTGCCCCCCCCCTTTTTTTTTTTTACAAAGGTAGACATAATATAGGTATTGAAAATTCGGGCGTAGGTCTAGCCTCCCCCCTCCCCACTTTCTACAGGCACGATTCATTGTAGTGAAAGAAGGGTAATAGGTAGTGTTTAAAAGAATTTGGTACTGAAAGATGTTCGACCAACCCCCCAACCCCCACCCACACCCCCGAAATAGGATTTTCGGGTTTGGAGAAAGAACAATTTTCCTTTTTTTTTTGCTTGTCAAGTTTTTTTCAGTTTTGATTTTTTTTTCTATTTCAATTAGCCACCCTACTATCAATTTCCTTCCGACGCCAATGGTTCATTAAAATCGGATTTGATCTCCCGGAAGTCAAACATAAAAAATCAGAAATACTTATTCATTATCTACATGCCATTTGATAAAATATAAATTAATTAAAGAATTATCACATATACATGTAATTATAGGACTATTAATGCAAAGCCTTGTGTCAAACTTTAATCACGCGTAAGTAGCTTGGTTTAAGGATATCCGATCCTCAGCCTTGAAGGATAACTCTTAATTTTATCATTTTATTCAAAAAGGCTAAAATGATTTTAATTTGGTTGTTTGTTTGCTGTTTAACGTCTCTCTCGAGAATTTTTCACTCATATGGAGACGCCACAATTTGCCAGTGGAGAGCTGCAAATTTTGTCCTATACTCGGCACTTACGGCCATTGAGCAGTAAGGGTTTTTTTTCGTGCCAACACCTACTGTGGCACGGGACCTCGGTTTATGGCTTTATGCGGTCTCTTACGAAGGACCGGTCTCAACGTCCCACTGTCGGATTCGAACCCGTGACGTAAGGATTGACTCCTTATTCCGCGTCTCTTAGAGCAGACACTCTAATCACCGTGCCACGTTGGCGACGGCAAAGATGAAACTTGAAAATGAAATGTTTTCATGCAGCAATTTTTATTTTAAGCATTTCAATGTGATTTAAGGTTTTCTGAAGTCTTAGAAACAGTCTTATAAATAGTTGATATTAGTAATTTACCCCCCCCCCCCCCGGAAAAAAGTATTAAACAAATTACATATTTAACGTAATCCAGTTTCCTTCCATCTACTAGCATATAGATACATGTACCAGTGAACATTTGCATATTATGAAATTAGAAATGATTTATGGTGTTTTGCACCAGGTTCTTCCCGGATGATCGGATCTGGTTTAATAATCCTTTTTTTAATGAAAATGTGTATTTTGCATAAAAATAGCATTTTCAAATGAAGAAATTACTATAAAAAGAAATAGTTTTTTTTAGTTAAAATACAGTGTTTAACATCGGAATAATTTTTAAGTTTATTAGATTTTTATCAAATATGTCAAAAAACAAAAAAAAAAACAAAAAACAAAAAAAAAACAAAAAAAACAAAAAAAAACAACAACAACAAAAAAAAAAACAAAACAAAAAACACACACACACACACATAAAATATCACCAACCCAGTCTACCCATTTTACAAACATGGAAATCAACAATCGCCAAAAAAAAAAAAAAAAAAAAAAAAAAAAAAAAAAAAAAAAAAATCTAAAATACTAAGTACTTATAGCACAATAGATAAAATATTAAATCAAAAAATTGAAACTGCCAACCAATTTTACTTGAAGCCAAAAATCGTAAAGAAAATCTAAAATACCAAGTATTTAAATACAATTTTTACAGGGAAAACACATTAGGTTAAAAAAAGAGTCTGAAAATTTTAAATCAGAAATTTGAAAAAATCTCGAATAGTCCCGGCTTTTAATTTGCCACGGCCCGGGTTTCCTATTTTCAAACACTCTTTAAACTGGAACTCCGCGCATTTTTTTTTTTTAAATAAAAGGACCAGTTTAGATGATGATAAAGAAGTTACCACTGCATAACATGAAATGACTAATGCATAAAAAGAATTGACCACATCATATAACAAATTAACAACATCATATAATTAATTAACCACCTCATATTAAGATGTTACCACTGCAAAGTATGATTTTAGGAATATATATAACAATTTTACTATATAATATAATGATCTTAGTACTGCACATAATAGATTTTTCACTTCATGTAAAGGTGTCGCACTGAATGAAATTAACTTGGCACTCCACATGCAGCGGGTTTCATACAATGTAATGATTGCTTTATCACACAAATTATGTTTGTACTGTATATATTGAATTTATCACATCACAGAAAGATATCAGTTATGTATATAATGGAAAAACCACTGCATATAATGATTTTACAGCATAATGTAACGGTACTATCACTTCATTACATTATTTAACCACTACATATAATGACATTGCCACTGAATATAATGATAAAACCACTGCATATAATAAAGTTATCAATGAATATAATGATTCTATCACTGTATATAATGATTTTATCACTGTATATAAAGATAAAACCACTGCATATAATAAAGTTTTCATTGAATATAATGATTTTACCACTATATATAATGCCTTCACCACTTCACATAAAGGTTATACCACCTCATATAAAATGAAAATGACCTTCAGGCAGCTATGGCGTTCCATATATCTCTCGGTAATGAATAATTATCCTTGGTCTTTTGAATGTTTTGTAAGAATTTCGCATGGAACCCTGGTAGCGAAGGAATTCTGGGAATGTTGCACCAGAAAATTTGCCTGACGTATGTACAGATTTCATTCCGAATTTTCTCTGTTCTTACACGTTAGTCTATTGAGCTCGCTTCGCGCCGCTCGCTGCGCTCGCTATCAACAGTGCGGCAGTGCCAGTGAAAGTCAGGCGGTATGCCGGTAAGTAAAGATGATTTTGTGATATTAATGTACAAGTAAGTGATTTACATTCATTCGATAAAGGAAATGTCTCAGAAATCAGCTGTCAGCATATTGTAATTGAACTACGGCTTCCGAAGAAACTAGTTCGAATTATCTCTATACCTTTGTATAGGGGATGGAGATTGCATGGTGATTTTATGTTCCATATGTAGATAAAGTGGCGATAAATTATATGATATATCTTTACTAACAGATATATCTTTACCAACAGTATATGCTCGTATTTTACAGTTTTAGCTTGAATTTTCTCTGCAGTAAATCATTTACACTGAGTCTTACTGTCAGTTGAAAGTCTGACTATTGATGACTTGTCTGGATTTGCTGATTTTATGTAGTTATGTATGATTGGACCAAAACATTTCTCTTAATATGGCACCAAACACCTATGTTTGTGTCTTTGTTGTCTGTTGTTTAATGTCCCTCTCGAGAATTTTTCACTCATATGGACCTATACTCTGCACTCAGGGTCATTGAGCAGTGAGGGATCTTTTTCGTGCCAGCACCTACTGCAACACAGGTTTATAAGTCTATTCAGAAAGACTGGTCTCCACCTCCCGCAATGGGATTCGAACCCGCGACAAGGATCAACTCCTGGCCTTACTCAGTGACTCTAAAGCAAATGTTTTAACCACTGCACCACGCAGGCGACCCTATGTTTGTTAACATGAGCCTATGTTTGTTAACATGAGCAAGAGCTATGTTATTGTTAATTTTTACATTTTACCCGATGTGTTCAATTAACTACCAGTTAACTGCACAAATCACTAAACACAATCAGGCAACACTCGTGTGTTGGATTTGGTTTTAGCTCACCTGAGCCAAAGTCTCAAGTGAGCTTTTCTGATCACATTTTGTCTGTCCGTAAACTTTTCACATTTTCGACTTCTTTTCAAGAGCTACTGGGCCAATTTCAACCAAACTTGCCATAAAGTATCCGTGGGTAAAGGGGAATCAATTTGTTCAAATGAAGGGCCATGCCTTTTTCTAAAGGGAGGTACATGTAATTACAAATTTGTGAAAAATTAATGGCATCTTTTAAAAATCTTCTCAAGAACCACTGGGCCAGGAAAGATGAAACCTGTGTGGAAAGACCTTCAGGTAGTGTAGATTCAAATTTGTTTAAATCATGACCCCAGGGGTTAGGGTGGGGCAACAATGGATGATCAAAGTTTTACAAAAGAATACATAGGAAAAATCTTTAAAAAATTTTCTTCTCAAGATCAGCAAAGCAATGATTGTTGATATTTATATGGAAGCATCCTTAATAGGTAGTCTAGATTCAGATTTGTTCAAATCATTACTCCTGGGGGGTAGAGTGGGGCCTCAAGGAAAGTACCCACTTATTGGGGAAAAAATCTATAAAAATCTTCTAAAGCCATGATTAGTGAAAGAAATATGGAAGCATCCTCAGATAGTGTAGTTTCAAATTTGTTCCAATCATGCCAAAGACACTGTTCAATGACCTTTTGAACAAAAAAAATTCACTTCTGTTTTTCCAGCCACTGCCATTAAAAGAGTCAATTGACAAATTCTAAATATAAGAAATTCTACATTTTTTGTTCAATCATCAGTCACCATGAGAAAAAGAAATTATGCTTTAGTTTTTTAATTATTTGCACATTTAATTTTAGGAGCAACAAAGAGTCTTGATTTTTAGAGGCAGGTTTTAAAGAAAGAAATCAGTGTTGTAAAGAAAGAAAAAGATTTTCCACTCAAAGAATTATGGATAACACAGAGGTAAAAAGGACAATAATGGTTAGAGAGAATTAAGAAATTATTTATTTATTACATAGGCAGATATACCCGGGGGGAGGGGGGAGGGTAAGAAAATGTAATGGGTACTTGCAAATTTTTACATTGAGATTTTTTTAAATTTAATCTGCAGAAAATATAAATTTTAGGATGTACATAATCTAGTAGGTGCTATATTTAGATTTACACTCTTTTGATATGTTTAAAACAGACATCTTCTTAATAATTAATTATTTACAATTTAGCTCACCTGAGTCTAAGGCTCAAGTGAATTTTTCTGATCAAAGAGTGTCGGGCATCTGTCTATCATACATAAATGTTGTGTGTCATCCGTAAATTTTCAACTTTTCAAAGTTTTTGTCCAGAAATCAACCCAATTTATCACAAGGTAATATTGGGTGGAGAGAATTTAATTTCATTCAAATGAAGGGCCAAGGGGAGATAATTAAGAAAAAGTTAAAGTTTAGTGAGTGTCATTTGAAAGTCTTCTTCTCAAGAACCACTGGGCCAGGAAAGAAAAACGTGTGGAACAATCCTCAGGTAGTGTAGATTCATATTTGTTTAAATCATGACCCCCGCGGTTAGCAGGGGCCACAATGGACAATCAAAGTTTTACACAAGAATACAAAGGAAAGATAATTAAAAATCTTCTAAGGCCATGATTAGGCCAAGATAAATAAATAGTATGTTTCATATTCCAACCCGAGAAAAAATAAGTAGATAGGCAAAACATTTTATTTTATTTTAACATTTTATTAGTTAAAATTCAACTTTCACAATAAACAAAATGAGAAAAACAGAGAGTTCATTTCTTTTTCCCAAAAGGTTGGCTTACTAATGGCATTTCTGTTTAATGTGTATAGGATATGCATTTTCCCAAACACCGCAGTGATCGAGATTTGGATTTCTAATAGTGAAAATGGAATTGTTTACTTCCGGAAAGATATCGGCAGATAAATTTTTCAGGGTCGGCTCATATATTTTAGGGTTGGTTGGGGAACCGGAAACACACAATTTATTTATCTAGGCCTTAGTCAAAGAAATAGAAAACATCGTCAGTTAGTGTAGATTTAGGTTTGTTCAAATCATGCCTGCTTCCCCTCCCCTTAGGATTAGTTCGACCCAGTATGAATTTTAACTTTTCAATACTGAACGCCAAAGAGCTCAAGTGAGCAGTGTGGCCCATGGGATTTTTATTTGAGCATAGTCATTTCTATGCAAAATAGCGTAGTGTATGTTCATTATGATTTGTTTTTTTTTTGGCCATACTTTGCCAATAAAGATACGGTATAAAATTGTCAAAAGGAGTTTAAAGATTTTTAAAAAATTTACAGGCAAGTTACAAAGGATATAGTGAGAACAATGGGGAGGGTTTTTTTCCATAAAGGGAAATAACTCTTGCAAATGGACAATTTTTTTTAATCATGTAAGAAATGCCAGTTCTGTTCACACAAGGAATACCCAATTTGCTGTCACATTGAAAGCCTTCCACTTGTCATGCTTATCATGAAAAAAATTCTCCATCCTACCCAGTCCCCTTGATTATGCATGATAATTATAAAAACTCTAATTGTGTTTTGAATGTTATTTTTCAGGGTTCAGGAACCATAAATTTGATGTTGGAGTCTTAACTTCACCCTGATAGACTTTGAGCACGTCATAAGTTTAAGACCTATGGACAAAAATCTTGCAATGGGAAGATAACACAGCCTTGATAAAAATCAGAGAAATCTCGATAGAAGAGTGTGCTGGTCTGGACAAAAAATTGCAATGTGAATAACTTTGAAGAAAGAAGAGTCTTGGCGAATTTCAGAGAATTCTTGATGAAAGAATGCATGTGTTGTTCCTGATTAATTTATACATGAAATTTGTCCTTTTGACATCATTTGACACTCCATTTGAAGTGATGCATTTTTGATAAATTTCTATTTGAAATATGTCCATTTGATACTCCATTTAAAATGTCACAGCCATGTCTCAGTTTGCCGCTGATGAACTAGGATCTGCATGTTTTAAAAAAAAACTTGAATTTCTGCATTTATATTGATTGAATTTATTAGCTCACCTGAGCCGAAGGCTCAAGTGAGCTTTTCTGATCAAAATTTGTCCGTTTTCTCTCGTTGTCATTGTAAACTTTAATAATTACAAAATAGCGAAAATTTAATGGCACCATTAAAAAATCTTCTTCTCTTGAACCAATGATCCAGGAAAGATGAAACTCACATGGAATCATTGTCAGGTAGTGTAGATTCAAGTTTGTTCAAATCATGACCCCCTGGGTGTAGGGTGGGGCCACAATGAATGTTCAAACTTTTAGGAAAAAAAGGTCACAGTCGAAGAAAATATGTAAGCATCCTTAGTTACATGTAGTGTAGATTCAATTTTGTTCAAATCATACTCCCCCTTTTTAGGGGTAGGTCGGAACCACTTGTGCATTTAAGCTTTTACATACTAAACTGATTTTTGCTTTTTTCCTAGCCACAGTACTCAGGTGAGCGAGGTGGCCCATGGGCCTCTTGTTAAAGTTGTATATATGTATACCAAAATAATCGAGGCATTTGCTATTTGAATATTTTGCAAATAGTTTCTTTGCCATTTTCCTGAAAGTAATTTGCACATTTATTTTATTTAAAGTTATCTGGTAATGATGTGTTATTAACCTACCCATTTGGTGACAAGAGGTACATTATTATATTGTAATATTTACTCATTGTCGAAAAATCAAGACCAAAAATTGCCACTCAGGGCGGGGTGGGAGATGGAATGTACTAAAATTATATGAAAATGGATAATAAATTGTGATGATTTTTTTATGGTGTTGTCTTGGATTTGAATGACAAACATGCACAGGAAGGCATGTTGGAAAAGCCGGATTGACTTCCTGGAGTTCTGTCATATACATGTTATAATCATTGACCCAAATACTGTTCACCAACATTGAAAATACATGTTCAAAATATGGGAGCTACTATATGGCCTATATAGGAGCTCCTATATTTTGAACATGATTCAGGTCTACATTAATGAAAATAAAGGAGAGATCTTAGAAAATCAAAATTTCCACTTAGCCATAAATGAATAAAAAAACAAGATTTGTTTGTGAAACAATGATGCCCCTAATAGCAGCTTATGGTGAAGGTCAAAGTTTCTCAAATGCAAGTTAAAGTCCAAGTCAAGGTATCAAAAATGTTGTTACCTAAAAGCAGGTCTTGTCTCAAGGAATATGCCTGTAAAATTTGAGAGTCCTAGCACTAACCGTTGAAAAGTTATGGTGAAGGTTAAAGTTTTTTTTTCAAAAGTAAGTCAATTATAAAGGTCAAAATAATGGTGTCTAAGGGAAGGTCTTGTAACAAGAAATACATGTGAAATATGAAAGCACTAACACCAACAGCGACTGTTCAGAAGTTATGGCCAAGCTAAGGTAAAAATTTGGTAAAATTTTGCAAAAGTGGGTCAAACTCCAAGAGATCAAATAAAAGTAGTAGTGTTTATTTATTATAGTGACATGTGTTTAACAAAATAGATAATCACTTACAATTATATCACAATTTACAAACATCTTGATCTGGCACGATGGACCCATATGTCACCTTTAAGATATACTATAATATACTTATATAATGTTTACCGAAAGAAAGGTCTTGTCACAAGGAATACACATGAAATACGAAAGCCATAGCTCCAACCAATCAAACATTATTGACAATGTTTAAGTTTTTTGAGAACAAACGGACAGAAAAACAAGGCATAAACTACATGTATATGCCCCTTAATCTTTGATTATAGGTGTAAAAAATACTAATGCAAAAGGTCTACTATATTATGCAGATTTGTTCACATTGTACCTTAACCAAATTTTGGCCATAATATTGGTTTAAAGTAAAAGAAGGTAAAAATTAGGAAAATCTGTGCAATTTTTTTTTCCACATCAATATCTGAAAACAGAGTTAAAATTCCTTAAAGTTACATGAAATTAGATCTTATATGACTATATGCAAAATCCTGTTTATATGTCTGATAATCCATAAATTATACATGTTATATGTACACATTTTAATATAAAAATGACAGTTATGCAGTACCTCCATAGAGAAGGAATTCACACTCAAATCTAGTAATGAAAAAACTTCCATGTAGGTAGATTTCCAAACAAGAGGCCCAAGGGCCTTAACGATCACCTGAGTACAATACAACAATTTAGAGGATCCATAAACTGATAAATGAAGCTTTGTTGCCCAAAAGCAAGAAAAATAGTATGATTAGCATCAACAAAATAATTGGTCTAGTATCTATCTGCCCCCCCCCCCCCATTTATCACTATGATCATGCAGACTATTAACAAAATGTCTATTTTTTTAACCCCATATTGGCCTCTCTTGGCCTTTAAAGAACATTTAAAAAGATGTTATTTTTGCCTTATTTTTATTCATCCATTATTTCCAAGTCATTAAAACTATGAAAGTACTTTTTGTATTATGCAATAAATATTCTTGCATAATTCTCTTATTCTATTAAGCTTTCAAATACATTTTTTATGTTGATTAATTATCAAAAGTGAATGGCGAAGGGGAATAATTTTGCTCAGCAGAATACAAGTTAATTGAGCCCTGACCATGACCAGAACACTTGACTAAACGGTCAAGGTCTTCAAAATTCTGGTAAAAATACCCTTGCACATTAAAACTTTTACTCTGTTTGCCTTGAACATCCCCAGAAGCATAGAAGATTTTCAAAGAAATGCATTTTCACTATATTATTAAATAAATAAAGCCCCATCTTTACACCAGAACATCTGACCCATTGGCCATGAACTCACAATTCTGGAAGAAGCACCCTTGCTCATCATAACTATACACTTATTTCTTTACTTTATAACCAGTAGTAGCAAAAATATTTTGAAAAAAATTATGCATTTTACTATATAATCAATAAGCCCCCCCCCCCCCCCATCACCAGAACCCCTGACCCAAGGGCCATGAAATTCACAATTCTGGAAGAGGCATTCTTCCTTATCATAACCATGCACTTCCTTTGTTTGAAAAAATACCCAGGAGCATAGAAGATTTTGAAAGAATTTATGCCTTTTCCCTACATAATCAATACAGTCCCACCCTAACACCAGAACCCTGACCCAGGGACCATGAAATTCATAATTTCTGAGGAGGCAGCCATGCTCATCATAACTTTGTACTTAGTTTATTTAATATCCAGGAACAGAAAAGAAGATTTTCAAAGAATTAATGCAATTTTACTATATAATCAATAGAGCCCCACCCTAACACCAGAACCCCTGACCCAGGGGCCATGAAATTCAAAATTTTGAAAGAGGCACTCTTGCTCATCATAACTATGTACTAAGTTAGTTTATTTAATACCCAGGAGCAGAGAAGAAGATCTAGCACCAGAACCCCTGCCCCTGGGGCCATGAATTTCACAATTTTGGTAGAGAGCTCAATGCTTATTACAATCGTGCCAACAGTTTGACTGCTTGATGTCCAGGAGCAAAGAAGAATATTTTTAAAGATTGCATTAATTTTGGTGGTTTTAGCCCCACCCCTCAGGCCCCATGGGGGCAGGGACCATGAAAGAACCATGAAATTCACAATTTTTTTCCCCTTCACCCATAGATGCTATATGCCAAATTTGGTTGGAATTGGTTAAGCGGTTTCAGAGAAGAAGCTAAAAAATGTTCAAATGTTAACACACAGTGCACGACGCACACCGCATAACGACGGACGAAAACAGATAGCAATAGGACACCTGATTGACTTTGGTGACCTAGAAATATAAGCACAAAACAAGACTCAAGTAATTAATTTATTATATTTTTCTGGCATAAACTTTTTTTTTTCTTAAATCAATCCACACAAGAGAGAAATGAAATATCTCTAAATTCCATTAACTTTATATCAGTGTGTTCTTTGTGTGGGATTTTTATCTGCTATTATATCTGTACATATTCTGTAAATCTTGAAATGCTTAAAGACTGATATCATGGACTCTGCTCTCTCAAATTAGATAAACCATCATGTCAAAAGCTTATAGGCTCAGTGTTACAGAACTAATAGTACAGAATTAAGTGATGGCAAAAGGTCTGACAGTCTATTAATCCATCTGAATCTAAACAGATCTTTCTCCTTCTTCAGATCCTCTTCTTTCAAACAAAACTTTTTTCAAAGTTGGTTAAGATGTCATCAATAGGAAGTACTGAAATATAACAAATTTAATATTTCACCTGATTGTTGATGAATTAAATAACACATTACAAGAGGCCCATGGGCCACAGTGCTCACCTTAGTCACCTTGGTCCTGCACATGTAGTGTTCTGGTTCTGAAGAATTTTTTTAAAAATCTCCCTTTTTCTCCCAATGAAAAATGACCCAATATTGTGGCCTCACCTTAGCCTAACTGTTTATAATTAAATTAATTTTAACCCCAATAACATGTCCTGCTGTCCTTCCATCACACTTTGAACTTCATATGCTGATACATATAAATTATTAACGAGAGCTACTCAACAGCATGAACATTTTTTGACCTTGACCTCACTTTTCCTAAATTTTTCTTTAGTTCAGTTTCAAGAGCTATTTAAGATATTTTTTCAAACCTTATATATGTGCTGATACATATTGATAGGATCTATTCAATGTCATAATCATTATTTTACTTGACCTTTCCTTTAACCTTGACCTCACCTTCCTTAAATAAGTGAGTAGCTCAGTTTCAAAGAAACTATTCAAGAGATTTTGATTAATCTTCATATGCTTATACACATTGATAAGGGCTATTCAGTTGCATGAACATTTTTAATCTTGACTTTTTTTCAAATTTGTGTTAAGCTCAGTTTTAAAGAAATAATCATGATATTTTTATCAAACTTTATACACTGAAACATTTTGAAGAGTGTTTTTGAACTGCAACAACAATTGTTGACCATGACTTTCCCTTTGACCTTGATATCACTTTTTTTCTTATATAAGCACATAACTCACTTTCAACAAAACTATTCCAGATACTTTTATGTAAGCTCTGGTACACAATTTGTTGAAAATTCATCAATTTTGTTCATTTTTTTTTACCTTGACTGTCCCAATGACCTTTTCTTTACTTTTATTGTATATGTTTATAAAACTAAGTTTTACAAAAAAAAAACAAAACAAAACAAAAAAAAAACAAAAAACAAACAAACAAAAAACTATTAAAGATATCATCGTCAAACTTCATACACAAATTTTCATGTTGCATTACTAATATACTCTGGGTGGGGATTCATGTCCTATGGACAAACTTCTAGTTAGTAGTATATTCCCGTGCAGATTTTTAATCCCATATTTTGGCTCCATTCTCTCAAAGGGGGTGTTAATTGAATATGAAGCTACACTATGTCAGGGAACTTTCACAGAAGTTTCAACTTTTCTGCATAGTGGTTCTTGAGTAGAAGATTTTCAAATGACACCACCAAACTTTAACTTTTTCTTAATTATCTCCCCTTGGCCCTTCATTTGAATGAATTTAAATCCTCTCCACCCAATACTGCCTTGTGATAAATTGGGTTGATTTCTGGAAAAAAAAAATTGAAAAGTTGAAAATTTAGATATGACACACAACATTTATACATGAAAGACAGATGCCAGACACTCTTTGATCAGAAAAATTCACTTGAGCCTTAGACTCAGGTGAGCTAAATTGTAAATAATTAATTATTGAGTAGATGTCTGTTTTAAACATATCAAAAGAGTGTAAATCTAAATATAGCACCTACTAGATTATGTACATCCTAAAATTTATATTTTCTGCAGAATAAATTTAAAAATATCTCAATGTAAAAATTTGCAAGTACCCATTACATTTCCTTACCCCTCCCTCCCCCCGGGTAAATCTGCCAATGTAATAAATAAATAATTTTTTAATTCTTTGTAGCCATTATTGTCCTTTTTACCTCTGTGTTATCCATAATTCTTTGAGTGGAAAATCTTTTTCTTTCTTTACAACACCGATTTCTTTTCCTTTCTTTAAAACCTGCCTCTAAAAATCAAGACTCTGTTGTTCCTAAAATTAAATGTTCAAATAATTCAAAAACTATAGCATAATTTCTTTTTCTCATGGTGACTGGTGATTGAACAAAAAATGTAGAAATTCTCATATTTAGAACTTTTAATGGCAGTGGCAGGAAAAACAGAAGTGAATTTTTTTTTTTCTTCAAAAGGTCATTGAGCAGTGTCTTTGGCATGATTGGAACAAACTTGAAACTACACTACCTGAGGATGCTTCCATATTTCTTTCACTAATCATGGCTTTAGAAGATTTTTATAGATTTTTCCCCCTATAAGTGGGTACTTTCCTTGAGGCCCCACTCTACCCCCAGGAGTCATGATTTGAACAAATCTGAATCTATACTACCTATTAAGGATGCTTCCATATAAATATCACCAATCATTGCTTTGCTGATCTTGAGAAGAAAATTTTTTAAAGATTTTTTCTATGTATTCTTTTGTAAAACTTTGATCATCCATTGTTGCCCCACCCTAACCCCTGGGGTCATGATTTAAACAAATTTGAATCTACACTACCTGAAGGTCTTTCCACACAGGTTTCATCTTTCCTGGCCCAGTGGTTCTTGAGAAGATTTTTAAAAGATGCCATTAATTTTTTACTAATTTTTAATAACCTCCCTTTAGAAGTACGCATGGCCCTTCATTTGAACAAAATTGATTCCCCTCTACCCACGGATACTTTATGGTAAGTTTGGTTGAAATTGGCCCAGTAGATCTTGAAAAGAAGTCGAAAATGTGAAAAGTTTAAGGATGGTCAAAATGTTCATTTGGCTCAGGTGAGCTAAAACCAAATCCAACACACGAGTGTTGCCTGATTGTGTTTAGTGATTTGTGCAGTTAACTGGTAGTTAATTGAACATACCGGGTAAAATGTAAAAATTAACAATAACATAGCTCTTGCTCATGTTAACAAACAAAGGCTCAAGTTAACAAACATAGGGTCGCCTGCGTTGTGCAGTAGTTAATTTAAAAGCATTTGCTTTAGAGTCACGGAGTAAGGAGTTGATCCTTATGTCGCGGGTTCGAATCCCATTGCGGGAGGTGGAGACCGGTCTTTCTGAATAGACTGTATAAACCTGTGTTGCAGTAGGTGCTGGCACGAAAAAGATCCCTCACTGCTCAATGACCCTGAGTGCAGAGTATAGGTCCATATGAGTGAAAAATTCTCGAGAGGGACATTAAACAACAGACAACAAAGACACAAATATGGAACGCCATAGCTGCCTGAAGGTCATTTTCATATTATATGAGGTGGGATAACCTTTATGTGAAGTGGTTAAGTCATTATATATAGTGGTAAAATCATTATATTCAATGAAAACTTTATTATATGCAGTCGTTTTATCATTATATACAGTGATAAAATCATTATATTCATTGAAAACTTTATTATATGCAGTGGTTTTATCATTATATTCAGTGGCAATGTCATTATATGTAGTGGTTAAATAATGTAATGAAGTGATAATATCGATATATTATGTTGTAAAATCATTATATGCAGTGGTTTTTCCATTATATACATTACTGAAATCTTTCTGTGATGTGATGAATTCAATATATACAGTACAAACATAATTTGTGTGATAAAGCAATCATTACATTGTATGAAGCCCGCTGCATGTGGAGTGCCAAGTTAATTTCATTCAGTGCGACACCTTTACATGAAGTGAAAAATCTATTATGTGCAGTACTAACATCATTATATTATATAGTAAAATTATTATATATATTCCTTAAATCATGCTTTGCAGTGGTAACATCTTTATATGAGGTGGTTAATTAATTATATGATGTTGTTAATTTGTTATATGATGTGGTCAAATCTTTATATGCATTAGTCGTTTCATGTTATGCAGTGGTAACTTCTTTATCATCATCTAAACTGGTCCTTTTATTTAAAAAAAAAATGCGCGGAGTTCCAGTTTAAAGAGTGTTTAAAAATAGGAAACCCAGGCCGTGGCAAATTAAAAGCCGGGGTTAATTCGAGATTTTTCTAATTTCTGATTCTATTATACAGCTTCCTGATTTTATCAACTGTGCTGAAATTTTAATAACTCATTTTTATAGGTTAATGTGTATTCGCTGTAAAAATTGCAGTTAAGTTTAAAATACTTAGTAATTTAGATTTTCTTGGCGATTGTTGATTTCCAAGTTCAGTGGTGGATCCAGGAATCTTGAAAAGGGGGGCACGACAAGTTTTTGGTCGGGGTAGGTAGCCCACAGCCAAACAAAAAAACAACTGATTTATTAAATCTTTTGTATATTTTGGACACAAGGGGGGGGGGGGGTCCCATAGGCCCTCTCTGAATCCGCCCGCGAGGTTTGTAAATCGGTTAGGCAATCAAGTAGACATTTTACGTGTTTTGTTTGTTTGTTGGTTTTTTGTTTGTTTTTTTTTTATTTTTATTTTTATTTTTATTTTTTTATTTTTTTTTTTTTGCCATATTTGACAGAAAGCTAATAAACTTTTAAATTATTCTGATGTTAAAAATTATTCATTCTTTGAAAGGCATTTTTTGAGTGAAATGACACGTTTAAGAAAAACCGGTTCACATAGGCGTCGGAACCGGGGGGGGGGGGCTATTACCCCCTTTTTTTTTACAAAGGTAGACATAATATAGGCATTGAAAATCGGGCGTAGGTCTAGCCCCCCCCCCTCCCCACTTTCATTGTAGTGAAAGAAGGGTAATTGGTAGTGTTTAAACGAATTTGGTACTGAAAGATGTTCGACCCCCCCCCCCCCCAACCCCCCACCCACACCCCCGAAATAGGATTTTCGGGTTTGGAGAAAGAACAATTTTCCTTTTTTTTTTTTTTTGCTTGTCAAGTTTTTTTTTTTCAGGTTTGATTTTTTTTTTCTATTTCAATTAGCCACCCCACTATCAATTTCTTTCCGACGCCAATGGTTCATTAAAATCGGATTTGATCTCCCGGAAGTCAAACATAAAAAATCCGAAATACTTGTTCATTATCTTCATGTCATTTGATAAAATATAAATTAATTAAAGTATTATCACATATACATGTAATTATAGGACTATTAATGCAAAGCCTTGTGTCAAACTTTAATCACACGTAAGTTGCTTGGTTTAAGGATATCCGATCCTCAGCTTTGGAGGATAACTCTTAATTTTATCATTTTATTCAAAAAGGCTAAAATGATTTTAATTTGGTTGTTTGTTTGCTGTTTAACGTCCCTCTCGAGAATTTTTCACTCATATGGAGACGCCACAATTTGCCAGTGGAGAGCTGCAAATTTTGTCCTATACTTGGCACTTACGGCCATTGAGCAGTGAGGGATTTTTTTCGTTCCAACACCTACTGTGGCACGGGACCTCGGTTTATGGCTTTATGCGGTCTCTTACGAAGGACCGGTCTCAACGTCCCACTGTCGGAATCGAACCCGTGATGTAAGGATTGACTCCTTATTCCGCGTCTCTTAGAGCAGACACTCTGATCACCGTGCCACGTTGGCGACGGCAAAGATGAAACTTGAAAATGAAATGTTTTCATGCAGAAATTTTTATTTTAAGCATTTCAATGTGATTTAAGGTTTTCTGAAGTCTTAGAAACAGTCTTATAAATAGTTGATATTAGTAATTTAACACACCCCCCCCCCCCCCCCCCCGAAAGAAGTATTAAACAAATTACATATTTAACGTAATCCAGTTTCCTTCCATCTACTAGCATATAGATACATGTACCAGTGCACATTTGCATATTATGAAATTAGAAATGATTTATGGTGTTTTGCACCAGGTTCTTCCCGGATGATCGGATCTGGTTTAATAATCCTTTTTTTAATATTATATATTTAATAAAGAAATAACTATCAAAAATAAATAGTTTTTTTAGTTAAAATACAGTGTTTAACATCGGAATAATTTTTAAGTTTATTAGATTTTTATCAAATATGTCAAAAAACACACACACACATAAAATATCGCCAACCCAGTCTACCCATTTTACCAACATTGAAATCAACAATCGCCAAAAAAAAAAAAAATCTAAAATACTAAGTACTTATAGCACAATAGATAAAATATTAAATCAGAAAATTGAAACTGCCTACCAATTTTACTTGAAACCAAAAATCGTCAAGAAAATCTAAAATACCAAGTATTTAAATACAATTTTTACAGCGAAAACACATTAGCCTAAAAAAAGAGTCTGAAAATTTTAAATCAGAAATTTGAAAAATCTCGAATAGTCCCGGCTTTTAATTTGCCACGGCCTGGGTTTCCTATTTTCAAACACTCTTTAAACTGGAACTCCGCGCATTTTTTAAAAATGTTTTTGCAAGAGGACCAGTTTAGATGATGATAAAGAAGTTACCACTGCATAACATGAAACGACTAATGCATATAAAGATTTGACCACATCAAATAACAAATTAACAACATCATATAATTAATTAACCACCTCATATAAAGATGTTACCACTGCAAAGTATGATTTTAGGAATATATATAATAATTTTACTATATAATATAATGATGTTAGTACTGCACATAATAGATTTTTCACTTCATGTAAAGGTGTCGCACTGAATGAAATTAACTTGGCACTCCACATGCAGTGGGTTTCATACAATGTAATGATTGCTTTATCACACAAATTATGTTTGTACTGTATATATTGAATTCATCACATCACAGAAAGATTTCAGTAATGTATATAATGGACAAACCACTGCATATAATGATTTTACAACATAATATATCGATATTATCACTTCATTACATTATTTAACCACTACATATAATGACATTGCCACTGAATATAATGATAAAACCACTGCATATAATAAAGTTATCAATGAATATAATGATTTTATCACTGTATATAATGATTTTATCACTGTATATAAAGAAAAACCATTGCATATAATAAAGTTTTCATTGAATATAATGATTTTACCACTATATATAATGACTTAACCACTTCACATAAAGGTTATACCACTTCATATAAAATGAAAATGACCTTCAGGCAGCTATGGCGTTCCATACACAAACATAGGTGTTTGGTGCCATATTAAGAGAAATGTTTTGGTCCAATCATACATAACTACATAAAATCAGCAAATCAAGACAAGTCATCAATAGTCAGACTTTCAACTGACAGTAAGACTCAGTGTAAATGATTTACTGCAGAGAAAATTCAAGCTAAAACTGTAAAATACGAGCATATACTGTTGGTAAAGATATATCTGTTAGTAAAGATATATCATATAATTTATCGCCACTTTATCTACATATGGAACATAAAATCACCATGCAATCTCCATCCCCTATACAAAGGTATAGAGATAATTCGAACTAGTTTCTTCGGAAGCCGTAGTTCAATTACAATATGCTGACAGCTGATTTCTGAGACATTTCCTTTCTTGAATGAATGTAAATCACTTACTTGTACATTAATATCACAAAATCATCTTTACTTACCGGCATACCGCCTGACTTTCACTGGCACTGCCGCACTGTTGATACTAGCACATGGCCTTGAGTCACGTGATTATCTTCGGCAGACAAACGTTTCCTTTTTCAAGCGTCCAAATAATAATCTTACCTTCTCAAAATTGGTGAACGATTATAATTGTGCTGTGCATCAGAATCATACAAACGTTTGATTTTGTCAAGCGTCTAAATAATAATGTTGCATCTTTTCTGGTCGAGATTATTATTGTTGAACATTATAATTATTGTATGATCGATGTGGAATATAATTGTTATAATTTTGAGGCGAAATAAAAATAATGTGTACACATGGACAGACAAGATTATAATTATTAAGAAAGAATAATTATTATAATTTTGAGGCGAAATAAAAATAATGTGTGCAGACATCGACTGACAAGATTATAATTTGGAGGTGTATAAAAATAATGTCTCCGTACTAACTGAAAAGATTATAATTGTAAAGTGAGAATAATTATTATAATGTTGGGGCAGAATAAAAATAATGTGTACACGTTTGGCAGACAAGATTATAATTGTTGCAGGAAAATAATAATGTTGTAAAGAAAAACCAAGATTTTTATTTTTGTATGAGATAATTATTTTTGGTATACTTATATAGGAAAAAATAATAATAATGTGGGGGTACCCTACGGCTTTCCATAGAATGTTTTACATATAGTATCTTTATTGGCGTATTACAATTAGGTATATTCCAGCCACCTTATCCGCCTGTCGCAGATGATCCACTGACCACATATGGGTGTCTTCATTTAAATGGTAAGCAAACTACAACGAGACAACAACAAAAATCTCAGTTGTACCAATTAATAAATTTACCTAATAAAATAGATCTTTGAATTTCTTGAGTATGAAACCTACTTACTGAATTCTGATCTCTATAAAAAGTTAAAGCCCCCAAAAATACATTTAAGTAGAATTAAAAAAATAATACTTCAACTACAACATTTTCAATGAAAATTAAAAAAAAAAAAAAAGAAGAAGAAGAAAGAAATCACAAAAATCTTGAGAAAAATAAACCCTTTACTCGTTTATTAAAATTACATGTACTTCTGACACGATGTATTTTATGTGAAGCTTCTGTAAAAATTATCTATTTTAACTATGACCGGTATCAGTAGTTTCTATTAATTTGGAATATTTATGCAGAAAATATAAATTGTAATCATTAGTTCGAAACTACATGTATTTGGTTTTGGTTACAATATATATTTGTTTTAACTTTCACAACCAACATGTGTCATATTAATTTGTAAAATAGATATAACAAATAAATGATTGATTGTAGATTCTCCCAAAATCGAGTTTCAGTGCTTTATGGACCACATGAAAAACAGAGAACCACTGGAGTCGGCGAATTGTACCACGCCCCCATTGCCAATAAATAAAGCGACCCTGAGTAGATACAACTGTACAAATATCACAGGTGGGTATCTTGAAGAAATTAATAAACATCAATGACGTTATTTTACAATTCTGCATAGGAGACAGTTAAACATTTCTTAAAACAATTGATGAAAGTATATTGACATTTAAGATTAAATGGTTTGATCTAATAAAGATGTTTTTCCCTAAAGGATTTATTTTCTTAAAACTTTGTTTAAAATTCATTTCATACCCAAATTCACTGCATAGTAGAAATGAAGTTGAATACGCAAGTGTTCTGCTGATTTCATAGTTGAGTATCTTTCAGATATCATACATGCCATTAATCTGTATTATGACGCAAAAGATGTATTTGGAGGAATAAATATATCCGCAATACCTCCACTGCCAACACCACCAGTCATCACGACCCACAGAACGACTTCAGGATCTCATATAACTCGTTCTTCTCAGATTGATCTCGATACAGTAATTAATTACCTTTCATAATTTTTTTTCTCATCAATGGTACAGTCTATACTCAGTACATTGCTAAACTTCTACAGACTGTTTTTTAAATTTTTTTTTTAAAACAAAACTTGCAAGTCGAATCGGTAAGTGAAGGTTCCATAAAAAGTATTCAAAGCATAATAACTGAAATGTGTATAAAACCATCGTTGAAATCCACGGGTTTTCTCTCCATTACACTACATTGAATGTAGCGTACCAGAGAGAAAACCCATGGGTTCCGACGATGGTATAAAGCCTACTTTGTTGGTCTAAGAAACTATTATCAGTATTTTCTGTAAAATTCGATGATTAAAAAATATATACATGTATTCAAACAAAAAAATACACTAATCTTATGCAAATTATGCATAAGTAAGGGACATGTTTGAAGTATTTTTCCCAATGTAACTAAGCATTTATTTAATATTTGCCAGACTATATGCATACAGATATTTGAAGATTCCAACATGCATGGTAATACTCTTTTAAAAATGCATACATGTGCACTTCTTTGTTTTTCCATAAGTAACCATATTTAGTTGGAAAATAAAACTGAAACAGATTACACAGTAGACTGTAGTTGCTCCAAGATTCCACTTTTCTTAAGATGCAAATTGGAAAACAACTGCAAATACTTGTGATGATTTTAATAGGAATTTAGACTTTTTGTCCAGTAGAGTTAAAATGTATGTTATAACTTAGACATAAAGAGGAAAATTTCAATCAGAAAAGCTGTATCTTTAAATGAAAATAAACAGTTTGAACAGTACCTAATTGGTGAAAATTATTTTTCGGTTCTTAGATCAAGGAACAATCAAACAGAACCCTTAATCCAAACATGACCTTAGAGAAAGTCAACGAATTAGCGACACAACTCGAGGTCGTTGTCAATAGCAGCGAAACTGACGCAAAGGTCGTGACCCAGATTTTGTCCCACATGTCAGAGGTTGAGATCACTAACTCAGAGACTGTAGAGGTAACTTCCAATTGCTAGAATTTAATTACGTGACTCTTATCTCAAACTGGAAATGTAATTGACGTCATCATTTATAAACGTAAACATCAAAAAGTTTACTTTGGTCACCCACTTTTTTATTTTAAAATATAATATCAATTATTCATCACATTTCCGTTTCAGACATTTTCAAGGATTTCAACAACGGTTATTCATACATACAATGAAACTCTGGCTAACAGTGACAGCTCGGAGGTAAGTGTAAATGCTTATTTGTAACTTAGTAAAATTCCGGTTTTCAGATTCATGCTAGATCCAGGCAAGCATTGTTTTGGTGCAATTATTTTTTTTTGGGGGGGGGGGGGGAGTGGGGGGGGGGCAGAGGAAATAGCTTTATACTAGCCATTTACAAGTCCTCCTTACGTATTCAAAATATTTATTTGGTATTTGCTCATTTTTAGTCATGATATTTACTAAATCATTTTAGACATATGTTCTTTTAATTAGATCATTATGCCAAACATATTGTATTCCATGGAAAACGTTTTATCGTCCGCTTCTCCTAATGAAAATATTTCTATGGAAACATCCGAGATGGGTATGTTTAATTTATTAAGCTTACGATTAATTTTTGCTGTTGAAGAATGTATATCTTGCTTTTCATTTCCAAATGTAAAAACATTATTTAAAACATCATTACCAGATATTTCTGTATCATACGTGGAGCGAAATTTGAGTAATGGTGACATCATCACAATTAGCTCAATAGTTGGAACTATTGTTATGCCCATTACCGTATTCGACGGCGAAACTTGTGAGTATCCTGTCATTTTTTATTACAAAATATGATAACCATTCTAATTTGCATCCATTCATAAAAACAAATATAGATAACTTATCGATTCAGGATATTTTATGACCATCAACATTATTTTGCACTCACTAGCTCGTGTCTCAACCATCATTTACAAAACCATAAATCAGAAATGGAGCGTTAAGAAAGGTTACAACTATGCCAAAATCGGGAGTAATGTTATGTCTGTGTCGGTCCAGAACATCAACAAGAACCAAACTGAGAAAGCGGAAGTCAACGTCACAGGCGCCATCACTATTGTTCTTCCTACAAATGTAACAGGGGTAACAATTTAATAAAATTTTACACGAAAACAGATATTGGGGAGAATATTATTTTTCATAACAATGTTATCGATAAAATGTTATTCGAATGATGTATTAGCACACTCATAACTGTTATATTTTAATATCAAAATACAGGTGGAAAAGGAAAGGTTTTGCACGTTTTGGAATTTTCAGAAAAGGTATTTTTAATTTATCCATTTACAACATGACTAAAACCTAGATATTGTAAATCAGAAATTTTATTATTCACACACTCGTGTTAGTTTACCTACTTATGATCATATCTCTCAATTCATAATTCATGAATCAATTTTTAATTCTCTTAAGATACTGGGACACTTACGGAGGTACAGTGGTAGAAAAGAATGATACCCACACAAAATGTAGATATGACCATCTGACCAACCTAGCAGTCTTAGTCCTCTACTACAAGCCAGAGGATCCGGTAAATAGTTACAAGAACGTATTTGCATAAATACGTAAAAATTTTGCAAGTAGATAATAAAGAAATGTAAAATTAGACATTTCGGCATCTTTAAAACGAGGACTGAGGGACCGAATTAAAGTTTTACAAAGGAACCGATAATCTTGTACAATTTACACTTTGGCGTTTAGTAGATGCTTTTGGTTAAAAGATTGGCGACTCGACTTTTTCCATTGTCATTTGAGCATCAAAGCCAATGATGCACGGATTTACATGTATAAGCAATCATGTTAAAAATAGAATGGACTTTTTGTTGTCCTGTAGTGTATGAAATCAACTTAAAAATAACATGCACAGGAGCTTTATATGAATGTCACAATTTATGCTAATCATCAAAGGTTTGTTTTTTTTTTCAGATGACGAAGGAACACCAGAATGTGTTGTATATAATGACAACTCTGGGTTGCAGTATATCTATTGCCTGCTTAGCGCTCACTCTGATTATATACGTGTATCTTAGGTATCCAGAATCTGTCATGATTTCTCTACCACAATAAATATATATCTCATTGATTGTTTTCCAAGATAATTTCAAGAATCTAATCTGACTTACTGGTGTATTAGAGTAATGAGCTACATGTACAGTAAAACACGGTTATTAGGAAATCATGGGACCTCGGATTATCCTTCCGCGTCACGGAGATTCTTTATATGGATATAAGGAACCTAGTGAAAAGTCCTTTACGGGATTTGTAAAAAAAAATCTTCATAACGGAGATTTCTTTATAATCGAGTTCTTTTTAAACG